GGGGGTAGAAGGTGGTTTTACCTTAGGAGATGGATGTTTGGGAGGCAATTTTGGGTGTTTTGGAGTGGAAGGAGGATAAGGGCAGTAAGGACATGCATGGGCAATAAGCAAAGTTCCAAGTTGGAGAAGGAACAATAAAATTCTAGCTACATTGAACTTCTCCATTATTGGTAAGGAGAGGGAAGTGTTGCCAAATGTTACAAAGAGAATGGTACACTATGGCACTTCCTCTAGCACTGCCTTTCTTATAGAGAAGATACTACTGTTGGATTTTCCCTTTTTCTATTTCTTTTTAAAATTTCACCTATAGGGTGCTAGGGTTGGGTGAGTAAATCAAAGAAGTAGTGTGAGTTACAAAATGTTTACAAAGGCACTCACCAATGTGAATGTGTTGAGTTGAATATGATTCCTTTATTTTTTTGAGTTTGAGCTATGCGAATTAAAAAACTTATAGGGATCGCATCCCCTTGAATGCATCCTGCATGACGTATATTCAAATTAATTAATCAGATAAGTAGATTTCGATTAACAGATAGTTAAACATAAAAGAAAGCCAGCTCTATAAGTGTTTGACAGTTTATGCTTTATATACATATAAAATTGTAAATAAATATTCACCATGGCACTATCTAGCTCTAACACAGGCATTCTTATGAAGAAGATACTATTAACAAGTTCATTGCCTTTTAATCTCTTCTCTTCCTCTTTTTGACCATTTTACCTAGAAGTTGATCTGGTTAGGTGAATAAAATTAATCAAAATACAGTTAGTTAGAAAGTGTTTAGGCAATCATAGGGAGTGTTTTACGAAAGTCAGCCCATAAGATTTTTCACAGTTTACCTTGGTCACAAATTTTACTTTGCATTTATGGAAATCCGTAAAAATAGTTGTAGAAAAAGAATTAGCAAAGATTTATATAAGTTCTAAAAAGGGTAGTAACATTTTTAGTTTTCCAAATATCTTCTATAAGTTATTTAGCACGGCAAAGTCCATTTTTTAAAATTTCGTACTCTTATAGATTAGTTCACTAAAATCTTTAAAATTCTTAATTCGGCAGCTAGCTGTTCAGAGGGATAAATAAAAGATAGGCCTACAATATCTTTTGTAATGCAATTGACTTGGGAATAAATAGTAATAGTACTCCTATAATATGACAAATTGGATAATATAGTAAGCTTTAATTTGTGTCTCAATTAAATAGCCATAAGGTTCCAAAGGAAGCTGCGACTTTTTGGCCTCAAATTTCAAGCTTTTGGTCCAAGTGACAGTATGTGAATTGGAGAAGGGAAATGAAGTGCAGACAAATTTGGCACTTACTTTTGCTGTTCAGTCCGTGATTGAGCTATGGAAAGGCTGGACACTACATTCCAAACACTCCACCTTTTAAAAAGTAGCCTCCCATGTGGCATTTATATTCTAGGGAAAAGGGTCAAATATACCCCTTTATTTTCATATATTATCTACATTTAATATTCATTATATTATCGGGTCAAATTTACTCCCACCGTTATATTATCGGGCTATATTTATCCCCACAATCAGCAAACTTTTAAAAATATCCTTTGATCATTTAAGTAATCCACAATCTCCCAAATTCCTTTTATTTAAATCACTTGTTGTTTTTCTTGGTCCACTATTTTTTAAATAATTAAAATTTACCTACTTCATGAATTAGAAAAAAAAAAATTAAATAATACAACCGAATAAATAAAGTATATAGTAAATTAAAAAATATAAATTAGGCAGCTTTTCTAAATTCTAAAAGTATTTACAACATCCCAATTTTAATGAATTTGTTGCACCAAATGTATGTAAACTTTGCAAGTATTAGTGATTGAAGTTGAAGCTCCTCGGAGACTTTACATTGTCTAATTCAACTTTGCTTTAATTAAATGCCTACAGTTAGTGGATCGAACTCTATACTAACCAGGCAATAACAAAATATATTTGAATATACATGTACATACACGATGATTAGCTACATATAATATACAATAAATAGACCCACTAAATTCTACGGTTTGTATATGATTGAAAAATAAATAAAATTTTAAACCAATTTTATTTATTACAAAAAGAGAAATGGGTGCATTGGTAATAAAAAAATGGAAAAATGCCTAAAATACCCCTTTACTATATGAAATAGGACAGACTAGCCCTCCGTTAAAAGTTGGTCTCTATTCTACTCTTGTCGTCAACAAATGGGCTCGTATATGCCCTCCATCACTAACGAGAGACTCATAAAGCCACATGGAATATATATGAGGGCAAGTTAGATCTAATTCGAATTTTACAGGGGCATATATGAGTCAGTTATAATAGTCATTTCTCAAACACTTCACAACTCCATATCAGTTTACTTAGACACCTATTTGATAACACCAAACTAATTATCATAGCAAATAAACTCAGCCATAGACACAACAAATGAACGACAATAACTTCACTAAATCCTTGTACAAAAACATAATATTTTATTACATAATAAAAGACAACAATTAATCCATAATAACACTAATATTACATATCATTCCCCATGGATCCAAAGAACATAACAAAACATCCCAATATCACACACATGAAAATTCACATCTTCTTCCGAAATTTAGCATCAAGCACAAATGAGTACTCTAAACCGGTCACTTTCTCCATTAGTACATATCTTTCCAATTCCAAGGCTTCTATTCCTCCATGATCGACGAGCATCATAACATTCTCAAGATCAAACTTTCCTGTGGAGAATATTTCTTTCACGGATTAGAGCTTCATTTTCCTTCTTTAAACTGCATATGAGATTTGAAACTCTAAGAGGAAGCTCTTCATCTTGCCATTCCCAATAGGAATATTTTTCATCCTAAAAACCAAAAATAAATAAAATAAATTTACAAGCAAATCGGAATAATTAAAAGAACCCATAAAAATATTTACTTACCTCATGCTTCGAGCACTTGAAAAACTTTCTCCCAGCATTTGAAGGAGTCCATTCCATGAAATAATTGGTAGCAAGTCCGCAACGACACCTCATATTCGACCCCTTTGAGCTACTAGAACATTCCGACATTGCCTTTTGTTGTCTTTTGTTATGATTCCACCCCTTTGAGCTACTAGGATTTAATGAAGTCATTGCCGTTCATTTGAATGTTTGTATCTATGACTTAGTTTATTTGCTGTGATAATTAGTTTGGTATTGTCAAATAAGTATCTAAGTAAACTGATATGGAGTTGTGAAGTGTTTGAGAAATGACTATTATAACTGACTCATACATGCCCCTATACAATTCAAACTAGGTCTAACTTGCCCTTACATATATTCCACGTGGCTTTATGAGTCTCCCGTTAGTGATTGAGGGCATATACGAGCCCATTTGTTGATGGCAAGGGCAGAATAGAGACCAACTTTTAACGGAGGGCTAGCGTGTCCTATTTCATATAGTAAAGGGACATTTTAGGCCCTTTTCCGTAAAAAAATTATGAATAATTTGTATAATCTAGTAACTTTAGCATTCACATCAATAATAATTTTTTAAATTAAAATAGTGGACGAAGAAGAACAACAAGTGATTTAAATAAAAGAAATTTGGGAGATTTTGGATTACTTAATAGATCTAGGTATATTTTTAAAAATTTGTTGATTGTAGGGGTAAACTTGGCCCGATAGTATAACAGAAGGGGTAAATTTGACTCAATAGTATAATGAAGGTTAAATGCAGACAATGTATGAAAGTAGATGGNATATATATATATATTGTCCCAATTCATTTGATGCAGGTATAAATTAGTTTTTGGGGTTAGATTAAGCTCAATGTTTATTTAATATAGTATTAGACGACGTCTCATTTCAATTCTTGTTTCCAATATTAGGGTCCCATATTTAGTTGTCAATGCTTCAAATGTTAGCCCTGGACACGAGTTTGGTGAAGAGTTCCATGTCGGTGCATTAAGGGATGGGCGGTCTCTTAATATGCATTGGACAATCCTTTCAAGGTCCATTTCACAAAGCCAAATGAGTTTTATTATCCTAAATTTTTAATTTTTTAAAAATATTTTAAATTATTATTATACTGACTTATATAATATGAAAATTTTATTCTAAAAAATTAAAAATTTTGGGTTCAAATTTGCGATAAAATCTGTCAAACAAATTGGACGGAAGGAGTATGTATTTTAAAAGAGACATTTAAAAAGGACGTGTAATTGCCTTATATAACATATATAAGAGTATTTTGTGTGACATTATTTTCAAAAATTAAATAGCCATGTGTCCTTTTATTTTACAAGTATCCTACCTATTAACTTTTAAGTGGTTATGAATATCTACTATGTGGCCTTTTGCATGAAGATATGAGGCCAAATGGCTAAGCCAAAAACAAATGACAATCATCTTTCATGCAATTAAACACTTGGCAATTTAAGAAGACACCGAACCTATTACATTTGGACCATACAAATCCAACAAGTTTTACTCTTCTATCCGTTACTTTTATTTGTACAAAAATTGAAATAGTGGGGGATTGTGGTAGTATTTCAATATTTTTGTGGACAAGTGGCAACATAAAAAGTTATGTGGCTTGATCTCCTTGATGCTATTGTGTATAGAGCCCCTACCAAATGTCTCTTTGCATGAAAAGTTTTTGACAAGTAAATGAACACTTGTCATTTTCTTACACAATTCTTACAATTATAAATACCTACTTTCTATACCATAGAAGACACCAACAAATATTTTGCTCTCTCATAATTGCTAATGATTAGTAATCATCATTATAAGCCTTCTCATTTTCAATTACGCGTGGCCTTGGTGTGTTCCAATTTCTTTTACCTGTGTTTATTTTCTTATTCCAAACTTGCTGGTATTATTTAATTTTGCTGATTCCTGTATTCTCTAAATAAATATAGATGTGCTTGTTTAATCTTGGAAAAACATTCACATTGTTAAAATAGTTTCTTAGGACAGTGCCTAACACGACTCAAGTCAATTCATGTATCTACTTACAAATAATATTATTGCAATATTATTGTTATTTTCCGGTGTCATTTTCCTACATTTTATCTTCTCTTCACGTGTCTCACTAAATTAACACTCAAGGGTAGATTTGTATAAAGCACATTTCATTTTGTTAAACCTCACATATTCTGAAGTGGATTAAATTTGTTAAAATGACTAATATTTGAATCAGAAATACTCCGTAATTAATTTGCTTAGGTTTCATATCTGGTGACTGGTCTTAGTTAAAAGATGACACGTCGGCCCTTGGGAACAACTATTAAAGTTTACTCTCTACTGTCCACAATAAGTGATTTTTTTGAATATTTTTACAGATTAAGAAATTCACTTTTTAACATTAATTAGCAATGAAATTGACCATATTAACCTTTACTATCTCTTCATATAAACACCCCTAACACATACTCCAACACTATTTACTCCAAGGGCAATATAGAAAAAAAATAATTAATTCATTCTTGAAATCTGAAAAAATTACTTATTTTGGACCACAAAAAAAGCCAAAAAATCGCTTATTGTGGATCGAAGGGAGCATTTGTTTTTATTTCTTTGTGGTACTAATTTATACGTCCCCTAGGAAAATGTTTGTGCTACATGATTTTCCTTTTTGTTTGGGAATTATAGATTGTTAAAAATTAAGTTATCGTAATTGTTGGCAATTGTATGAAGCTACTGTTTCACTGATTATAGCAGCCTCTGCCGAAAACGAGTGTATGAATTAACACTTCAAATCACAATTCACAACCTCCTTTCTTAAAATAACACGAAATCTGAGTCATTCATATATATCGCAGCTGTAGCTAAATATTATGAATTTCACTTTATATTTAATAAATATAGGAACCACGGGATATGAATGGGTCTTGACCTATGTTGCTCGGATCCTTCAAACTGTTATTGTAGCTGTGTCGAATCCTCCAAAAATGTTTAACTGTCACATGATCTTACAATAAGCATTCATTGGTATTTTTGCAGGATCCGAGCAACTTATGCTTTAAAAAGGATAGTTAGGTGCACGAAACATCCCGCTTTGCAACATAGTCCGGGAAAGGACCGCATCCCAAGGGGTATAATGTAGACAATCTACCCTGATACTTACATAAGTGGTTGATTCCATACAGGGGCGACCCAATGATATTTGGGGCCTAAAGCCATACTTCAACGAGGGGCCTTAAATTTTCGGTATTACAAAAAATAATTTAGTAAAATTTTATTTAAAATTTATTTTTCTAGCTTTTTGAGATACAAAATTATTAATATTTTACTTATAATCAATCTTTTTACTAGGATCATATATGTTCTAGGATATTATTCCATTCTCTTAGAATTTCCTGTTTTTCTGAAAGATTTATGATAGATTTCTCACCAACTTCTTCTTCTTCTTGGATTTCATTATCGTCTAGCTCAATTTTGTTAGTGATTTGTTCATCTACCATAAGTTCTTCCATATTTTTTGATTCAAAAAATTTATAGTTCGCTAAAAATTTATCAATAACTCCTTTTTTGGAAAGTATTAAANAAGATGTAACGTGGGGAAAGTTTGAAAAAAAGAGTGTTGGCAATTGCTTTCTGCTATCTTATTTTTAGAGAATGATTTGCGAGACAATGAACTTGTGAGTGTAGAGAGGCCAAAAGGAATATAAAAGATTGAAGTAAAATATGATTTGAAGAGAGAGTAATAAAATGGTAAAATTAATGTAGGCCATATGATAATGATGATGGTATATAAATAAGGTAAGAATGTAAAGTTTACGCTGGAACTTTCCATGTTGCAGTAAAATAATGATTAGTTTTCAATGACTTTGCAAACGTTGACTATTTTTCAATTATCAGTCCAAAAATTGACTAGCCCGTGCTATTTTTACCTCAATATCTCTAGCGATTCCAAATTATTTTTTTTCATGAAAAAATATACTTTTTCTTTGATAAGCTAAATATTTTTAAAAGAAAGATTATCACATACAACTATTTAATATTAGAAATTTTGGGGCTCCCACGGATGTGGGACCTCAAGCAATTGCTTGAGTTACTTTATCATTGGGCCGTTCCTGATTTTATAGATCAAACTCGTCACCTATAGATCATACGCAAACAATACTGACGTTGCTTGAAGATTCCCCTTCTAGAGCAACTTATGCCTTAGACCAATAAAAATTAGATAACATTTCAAGTTCTCAATACAATGATTCATCCAATTAAGTTTTCTTGAAAATAAGGATGGAGTCACGGACTAGATCTTTTGTGGAAGAAAAAGCCAAGAAAACGCTGATATTTTCTTCCCAACTTGCAGCTTCTATTATCTAGAGTATAAAATATTAGTCATTACTTAAAGTAAGTGCAGGATTCTATCTCTAGGATTTCGTACAATCACGAGATGAAGGTTACTGCTGTATTTGCCAGACTATTATGGCAAATCAATGATCACGTCATTTCTTTAATTCTTAATGTCCCTGCTACATCAAATGAAATAAAAACATACATTTACAAACTATTTAGTACAAGTTGCTGCTAACAGCTTGTTTGTTTGGATGGTTGTTACGTATCGTTTCATAATGTATCATATCGTATTGTATTATATTGTATCGTTTGATGAATATAATATTTTTATAGATTATAATATTTGTTATCGTTTCATGATATCACGCACTAACAATATGAAGAATAAACTTGTAATATTATAAAGAAAAATTATAATACGGGGTAAAATTATTATATAAAAGGTAGGATAAATGATAAAATAAAATTATTTAATAATAATGAAGGGTGAGATTGAGATAAAAAGATAAAGTAACGACGCGACCACACCAAATCGATTGTCACATAAAGTGGCCATTTCGTTGTTACGTAACGGCGGATTTAACGATACTGTCACGACCCGATTTTTCCTCCGTATGACGTCGTGACGGGACCTAGTCTCTATGACTAGGTAAGCCTAATATTTTGCGGAATAAATGAAATGAAAACATAAATTTAACAACTAACTGTAGCAATAACACTATAACTGAGTACCATGCCACTTGACATGTACAATAACCAACTCCTCAATATACTACACAGCATTCCCAAAACCCGAAACATCGTGAATCACAAACTACATGAGGAAAATCCAGTGTTTCTAT